GCATACACAATCTTGATATTGAACAAGAACCGTATTTTTTTTTCAGAGGGAAGAAAACATGATGCAGGGATGTTAGCAGATTCAGGACTACTGAATGATCTACGTCAACTTGCTTATTCAACCACTGGTGCCCAAATGTGTGTTTATGGAGATCCCGCATACCCCTTAAGGAATCATTTGCAAACTCCATTTCRCCATGGCCAGATCACGCAACAAATGAAAGACTACAATGCCTCAATGAGTTCCGTCCGTGTTTCAGTAGAATGGCTTTTCGGCTTTTCTTCAAAAAGAACCTAAAACGTCAATTAAGTAGTGTAGAGAAAATGTACATAGTCAGTGCATTAATTCGTAATGCTATAACCTGCCTTTATCCTAATTCGACTTCACAGTTTTTTGACCTGGAACCCCCAGTGCTAGAAGATTATTTCCAATAAATGAAGGCGAAAACATTCAATTTAAAATATATTTATTTTTAAAATTTAAACAAGATGCATGCATGTGTAATAAAATATCCAATCATGAAAATAGTCTCAATAAATTAACACATTTTACAAGTCAAAAGCACTCCAATAYAAATTGATCATCAAAAATAATTTTTACCTTATTCTAATCTTTTGACAGAAATTTTTTAAGCACATCCACAAAACTGCTATTCAATTGATGCTGATTTTCTAGCATACTTTTCATCAGATTGTTCTGATTTTCTTGTTCTTTTTTCTTCAGCTCCATCAACGCCTCGTGCAACTCATGATCTTCACTCGCTTTCTCTTGAAGGAACTCTACAAGCGGCTGTGCACATCTTTTTTTGGAGTTTTTCGGTTTTTCATCTTCATCATCACTTAACTTCTGCTTACACTTATTTTGCCGCATTCTTTCCATCGCCGACTTCCTCGCTTCTTCGGCTTGGTCTTTGTCTTTCGTCGCTTTTGAAGCGGCGGACTCTTGGCTTACTGTGGTGCTTTCCCTATCCAGTAGTTCCTCTATCAGAACTTCTTTTTCTGAAGGTTCGTCGACTAAGATACCACTGGCGGCCTCTTCATCTCTTGTTTTAGCTTTGTACTTTCGGCTTAGTAATTGCCATCTGTCCCTGATTGCTCTCTTATCTTTGATCCTGAATTGTGGCGACTCTATCCTGTTAAGATTGGCCATGATATTTTCCCAGGTTTCACYTCGAGTAAYGCTACCTTTTTGCAAGCAAGCATTTCTCTTAGCATTAAGATATCATGGTCTTCTGTCCACTCCATCGATGATCTACAGATGAATAACAAACGATAATTTGGTAAAGCATCCTGAACAACAT